TAATAATAATAATAATAATAATAATAATAATAATAATAATAATAATAATAATAATAACACAAGTTCTATCCATATTAACATATCTCGGCCGTCACTTGAAACTCATTACGCCACTTCTTTAAAACTCATTACCAATCGTAGGTACCAATCGTTAGGTGCGAAAGCAAATTCTTTTCAAGCTAATTCATCCACACATATTCGAAAATCCAAGACTACGTTTCATTTGTACATTAACATCGCCCAACAATGTGAAAGAATTCTCAGAATTTCATGCCGCCGAATCGCGGCGTTGGCATTGTCGGAAAGCGCTATAAAAGATCTCGTAAAGAGAAGCAAATTAGGCGCGGCAAATTCGAAATTGCAAGTTTGGACGGAACACAATGATACGCGAAAATGTACTTGACCATATTTAAGGATCTAATGTTAAAGAACAGGTTCAATGAAGAAAAAAGCCATGATCATCATCAGCTTAATCATTATTGTTGTGTTTTCGCAATGCTAATTTTTTTTACAAATCACGAAATTGTAGAGAATTCAGCGCAAATTAGCCTTGCGTCAATTTTAAAACCACACGTTTTACTATTCCAGAAAAAAATGAAGAAAAATTTGGAGCAGATTCTGAGAAAACGTTTTCTCTAGAATTACCTACATTCCATACAAAACTACTCGAAAACTATTGTTTGTTTTAAAAAGTGTACCTCACCTTATTTAAATACCGATACGATTTTTCCTGTCCGTTTTCTGCTGCGGGTTCGTACAGTTCTTTCTTATCAGCAGTATGCCAAGAACCAAAAATGTATTTGATGAAGAAATATAAAATAAAAAGTAGTATAAGTAAAATCTAAGATCCAAATTAGATTCTATTTAAAATGATGAACGAAAATGGCCAAATATACAATGTTAAAAAAAATTATTTTTGCAGGACAAAATAAAACTCGCGTTTAACAGGGCACACACTTTCATGTAAAATTTATAGAGCTGTTATGTAAAATTAAAATGAATGTATTACATATTATATCGGTGTTCCCTCGTGTCCCCGCTGGCATTGCCCGCGCTTTCGGGTTGCAAATGCAAAACTATCAGCTCGAAAATTAATCCAACCTAAAAATGTCCAACATCATTTTCGATATATCCAAAATCGATATATTTGGTGCACAAGAACTTAGACGCATCTCAAAATTTGTCATTTCACTCGAGAACAGTTTTAATCTGTGTGGAATTGTTTATTTTCCGTCCAAAGACAGTGTCTGTATACCGTCTCTGTGTCCCGTCAAAGACAGTGTCTGTATACCGCTTCTGAACTATCATTATGAAATTTTCACTAGTAAAATGTACAATTTTCTGAATACATTTATTAATACAATTCATAGATGACAATTTTTGTGTTAAGCGACTTTTCTTGTTTATCGACGATTTGATCTCTAAAATGGGTCTAAATAGTAATATCCAGTGGGTGTTTAATAGGGCAGTACAATTCTACCTTTAATGACAGTAATTTCATGAAGCAAGACTTCGTTGCACTATCGTATCATCTAAGGTTAAATGTGGTTCAAAGAAGAAGAAGTGGATGAATAAAACATTTTATGAGCATAATTAAGCTGCTTGTATTATAGCTCGATATACCTTCTGAACATATGTATGAGTTGGACAATTTTGTCAACATTGTAGTTATTAGTACTAATTTCCAAAATTGTTCGGTTCATTTTACTGACAGATACACACTTGTGTTTAGCGAACTGATCCTCATTGCTGGGAATCTCCTACCCGACCTGTCGAGGCGCGTCAGTGAACCGCTTCTGACGTCAGCGTGAAGCCGGGCGTCATTGCAGAGTTCTGATATATTCTAAACGCAGAATTTCCCTTGTTATGAACATTTACCTTGACTCCAAGACGGGTTGCTGCGAGACTTTCTCAATGTCAGTTGTATTTCCTTTGTGAGCCTGTCAGACGTTCAGATTACATCAAGGAAATGCAAATTACCTTAATTTGGAAATCAGAATTGGTTATTTGTGCGTTAATTATTAAAATTCTTTACTCGACTACGTTGGCTTGTGAACTTAACGGAGCTAAGATTAATGGACTTTTCAAAAATCTGGATATTTCACGACGTGAATGAGGCATTGAAAACGAGGGTAATCTACCATGGATCCTGACCAACGATTAATAATATCCATGATTAGTCCATTGACATATTTCAATTCAACAATTCAATAAACAATTAATATATTAAGCAAGAAATGTGGCAATATTATCGTAGTGTCTTACTATTATAAGAAAAAATAATTCAAAATGTGGAAATGAAATGGAAACGTTAAAAAACTTTTTATTACGCTTCAGAATCCATTAGTATCGGTAATAACAATTTTAAAAAAATATTCTGTTGGAAGGGAAATTGAATATTCTATACGACTTAACATGTGAAGTTGGCAAACAATAAAAAACAATAGAGTATACAAAACTATGAGAAATTATTTTTTGAGTATATTATTAGAAACATAATTGAAATATTTCGAACATCATGTAGTTAGAAGTTACATAAAGAATTGTAAACTATCTAACAGAAATGTTAAAGGATAAATAGCGACGGAAGAAAATCTAAAGCTTGAGGAAGGTGAAATTAGAACAAACGAATGATGGTCACCGAATCAGTCGGAGAGAAGTAATTGAACAATTGGTGCTGGTAACCATTCCAACATTAAGGTGAAAAACACGTATGTAGGTTTGTAAAATCTGTAGGTATTCTCATAATAAGCCTGAATTTGTTTAGGAAAGTGTGTTAAGAACGGAACACTGCGTACAGAACAATGTAAATGAACTAGGATCGTTTCCGAAAGCCCGATCCAAAAGACTTGTTAGAAGTGATCATTAACATTTCATAGATTCAAATATTGGAACTCCTCCTAGACAAAAGAAATTACTTTGATTTCAAATTAGGTGAACAATGAGAGACGACAACTTACAGAAAAAAAGAGTAAAATATCAAAATAGATTTGTATTTTTGAAAATAGTTGCCTTTTCCGCTGAAAGAATCCTTGTTAATAATTTAACGGTTTGAAGTGAAAGTATAATGAAAAACGTTATTTACTCGTAATAGACTGACCAACTACCCTCTCACAAAGTCCAGGTGCCGAAGAAACTAATTGTCAAATTATTCGTTTTTTAAATGTTTGTCTTGAGTTTATTACTTATTTTCAACCCCCCAAAATGTAATCAGGTGAAAGATTATGCACCATCTACATTAGCTTACGGTAATCACACCATACTTTATGAAAGCACTTTAATAAAATGATGGCATTATTGTGTAATGCAATGTTTGACGTCGGGCAAGCTAGGAACCCGGCAATTAGGAAGAACAAGAGATAGGACGCGCTGGCAACGCGGCCTGTGGGCTGGCCGGTGGGTCGGGCACACCGAAACTAGGCATGTCGGATGGATAAGGGATCGGGCGCGATAGGTCAGCGTATAGAGCGCGCTGGCAACGCAACCTGTTGGCTGGACAATGGATCGCATGTTACGCATGACGAGAGGAAAGGGTGTGCTCCTGTGAGATGGTCAATGGATCAGACACGCGGGAACTAGGCCTGTAGGATGGCCAGAGGATAGGGGACGCTGGGAAACGCGACCCGTGGGATAGCAAAGGGATCGGGCAAGCCAGAAACCCGGCCATTAGGATGGGCAAGAGATAGGGCGCGCGGCAACGCGGGCTGTGGGCGGGCCAGTGGATCGACCACACTGAGAACCAGGTCTGTCGGATGGCCAAGCGATCGGGAGCGCTAGGTCAGAGTATAGAGCGCGCTGGCAACGCAACCTGTTGGCTGGACAATGGATCGGGCACAGCGAGAACCAGGCATGTCGGATGGTCAAGGGATCGGGCACGCCTGAAACGGCCAGAGTATAGAACGCGCTGACAACGCGGCTTTTGGGATGGACAATGGATCAGGCACACCGAGTACCAGGCCTGTCGGATGGCCATGGGATCGGCAACGCTAGGAACGGCCAGAGCAACAGGGCGCGCTGGCAACGCGGCTTTTGGATGGCCAATGGATCGGGCACACCGAGTACCAGGCCTGTCGGATGGCCATGGGATCGGCAACGCTAGGAACGCGCCAGAGTAATAGGGCGCGCTGGCAACGCGGCCTGTGGGATGGCCAATGGATGGCACATCGAGTACCAGGTCTGTCGGATCAGGCACGCTAGGAACGGGCAAAGTGTAGGGCGCGCTGGCAACGCGGCCTGTGGGCGGGCGGGCGCTGCGCGTGCACCGTTGCGCCGGACGTTTGTCGAGTCGGTCGCGCCGCCATTATGTTATCCAGCTCGTTACGCGAGCAGAGCGCAGTGGAGTCGCCGACCGGATTGCTTCAGCCTTGACGCAGTGGGCGAATGCATGTCCTCGGAGGGCGGAGACGCCACTTCCTTGGCACACGCCTCCAAGGGTGAGGTCTGCATGGCGTCTGCTAGGCGCCGATTAAGTGACCTAGACGCTGATTATAAAGCCAATGTGCTGATTGGGAGGCATTGGTGCTAATTCGGAGGCCTAGGAGCCGATTAGGAAGCCTAGGCGGCGATTAGGAGCCCTAGACACCGATTAGGAGGCCTAGACACCGATTAAGAGTTGTAGACACCGATTATGATTTCAAAGCGTCGATTACGAGGCCTAGGCGCCGATTAAGTGGCCGGCCTTTTATTATATTTTTATTTCATGCGCCTTCTTTTTAATTTGTTTACTTTGATCTGGTTGTCTTTGCGTTCCTTCATTGGTTTCCCGCTCGAGTTGTCTTCTCCTCTCAGAATTAATCCCAAATCTATTTCTTCTCTTTAACATCGGGAATGATTAGCAAATTCAATGATAACGCTGAGATTCGAGAGAAAAAGAAAGAGAGGTTTTTAAGGGTATCAAACAAATTTACATGAATCCAAAATAGAAGTGTTAGTAGAAAATAATTAGTTTTCGCGTAAAAGCACTGTCAATAGCAGTTGATTGTATGAGATCAGAACTGTTCTTTATTATATTGTGGGAAATGCAAATTTTTTACTAAGGCTAATATCTAAATTACATCTGCAAACGATTTTGATCTTTCTTTATGTTAATTATCTGTTTCGTTTTAACTCATTCCCACATTTAATTTTTCGTCATAAAACATGAATGTGTATGAATGAAGACGAGCTGGACTTTAGGAAGTAAATTGCCAAGGAAGGTAAGCACGTAGGCTCCCGCGGCCGAAGTCAGTATCCACTCTGCTGTCCGCTAGACGCCCGCTTCCTGAGGAAGGACGCAAAATGGCGGCCGAAACCTGTCCTTCAGATGCAGCCTCTTCCAGACATCCAAGTAGTTACTTGCACAGGAAGGTCTTCTAAGTAGTGTTGGTGTATAAACGTTTTAACATGCGACTTACAGAAATGTATAAGGTCCAACTTCTTTCACTAGTGGTATCTCTCGTTTATCCATCACCGCTTGCCAGTTGGTGTAGTTGAAGAGTCGCACCTGGATGTATGGTGTGACAGGGGGACGCTTCCACCACTCAAACATCTGAGTGTTGTTCCGCAGAATTAAGTTCTGAAAAAGCAAAAGATAACTTCAGAACACATAAGTTGGCTTACAAGGGACTTTTCAACAGATGCAGGTCGGAATTAGGCACAATCTTTTTCTATTGAAAGATATTCACAATTTTTAATACTGTAAAAAGTAAGTACCGCCACGCACTGGAAGTTTATGGGGGGAAAATGAGAGAGAAAGAGAGAGAGAAGCTGAATGAGAGAGGCTGAGTGAGAGAGGCAAAGAGAGAGAGGCAAAGAGAGAGAGGCAAAGAGAGAGAGGCACAGAGAGAGAGGCAGACGAGAGAGAGGGCAGAGTGAGAGGGGCAGAGAGAGAGGCAGAGAGAGAGAGGCAGAGAGGAGAGAGAGACAGAGTGAGAGGCAGAGAGAGAGGCGCAGAGAGAGGCAGGAGATGAGAGAGGCAGAGAGTGAGAGAGGCAGAGAGTGAGAGAGGCAGAGAGAGAGGCAGAGAGAGAAAGAGAGGCAGAGAGAGAGAGAGAGGCAGAGAGAGAGAGGCAGAGAGAGAGGGAGGCAGAGAGAGAGAGCATCTGGTCCGCATTGACCCCACTGTTTTCGCTATCGCTAGAGACAACCCTCGCTGCAGCGAGCAGGGTGTCCGCGAACCACTCACGTTGTGCTGTCATTGCTTGCTAGCTATCTGTACTTGTTAAGTGTGACGGTTGGCTGGATGGAAAACAGTAGTTCAGTTCGGGGAACAGATGTACCAGTAAACTAAATCTGAGAATTTTTTTATTCGTCGGTTAGTTACTAACGCTTACTCGCAATTAGTACGACAATCTATTATTTTATACGATTTATCGGCACAATTCGTTAAATGTAGGATGATTAATATACCTCAAGGAAAATTTACGATTACATTGTTCGATTATTTCGATTAAATTTCAATTTTTAAAATTTATAATATTATATTTACTTTTAATTTTAAAATGCCGCCAGTTCGCCACAAAGCGAGCCTCATCATAAGATCATACAATTTGTAATGAGCGGCTATTCGGAAGGCGGCTTTGGGAGCCCTCGAATTGGTTCGTTGATTTTAATAATTTAAATTAACCAAACATCGACTTTCGCGTCACTTAGAGCCGTCTTCCGAACAAAAAAAGATAGTTACGGTATATTTGTTGTTCGGGTTAATTCACCACTAGCATGGATTATGATCGAAAATTGACATGACTGTCCCCTGGGGTACTGAACCTCCATACGTTGATATGTATGTGTCAAAAATGGTCGGAAGAGTGACAAACAATGCTAACTACGCTTGCATGGCGCGGGCACCCTTGGCTTGACATTGGATTTCTCTTTCTCAGTGTTGAAGAACTAGTGCCCGGAAGAATATGCGCGCGATATGCGGGCTTGTCAAGGACGTGGACAATGCCATTAACTTAGGGCAGGCATGACAAGGTCGCTTGCAAGGTATCAAGCTCTCTAAAGTTGCGTCCAGAGAAATTGGCGCGAGATTTAAAAGTAAGGATTGTACAAATTCCTGCTGAGTGGCTGTATGTTACTGGATGCCTGGTCCATGCCAGTGTTACGGAGAAATTACTTGTCAGTTGCTATTTCCTTTTTAAGGCAAATAAATGAACCATTAAAAGGAAATAATACATTTGTTCGATATCAAATTCTCAATTGACAGTAAAAGTTAAAAAATTAAATGAAAAGAATCTTGATTTTGCAATCCCACGTATGAGTGATATAAAATCTTGAACTTTCTACATTCAGGTTAGAAGGTTTATAAAACAAACGTTCTTGCTTGTTAAAAGTTGCAGTCCGTTCGTAAGCAAGACTTGTCAATTTATTTCACATTATTGCTAAATATAATAAATAAATGAATTATTTAATAACACGACACAAAACGGAAACAAGGAAAGAATTCGCCATTCAAACATATTCCTCTCACTTGGTAAAGATATTTATGAAAGGGAGAATTTAGTAAGGAAATGCACATCAAATAATAATAAGTAGTTAAAAATGTAAACATGATGAAATTCTCGATTATTTGTTAGAAAAAAATTGGCAAACATTTTCTTATGAAGCCATTATTCACCGCCTCGCGCCTCTCCAGCCTGCGCGTGTACACCCCTTTCTGGATTTTAAGGGGAAATACGAGCGGAGTGAGGGGAAGTTGTCCGTGCTCGTAGGAGCGCCGGGGTCCCCAGGCGGGCAAATAGCTCGTGCGAGCGCGGTTTGACGTGCTTGACTGAAGGCCCATTCACAACGCAAACGTAAACATTAGCATAACGCATATACATAAACATTAATATAATTGATAGACTGAAGTATTCACAATTTCTAACATAAACGTAAGCAAAATAAGAGTTTCTATTGGTTGTGAGAGATTCTAATTTACTATTGGTTGGATGTGAGAGTCGATTTCGACGTATCAACTGTGCCCATGGCCCATATGCTTCGTCAATAGAATTCGTTTATATTTCGATTCTCGATTTTGAGTTAACGCACTGTGATTGGGGCATTTATGCCTTACTTAAGCATAAGCACAGAAGCTTGCAAGCTTTTAAGTGAACGTCTTACGTGTTATGCTTATGCGAACGCATTGTTAATGAGTCCGCTTATGGGTGTTGTCCTAACTTTTATGTTAGCGCCATGCTTGTTTTTATGTTTGCATTGTGAATGGGCCTTAAGGGTTTCGCTGCCCTGAATTGGAGCTCCTGGAGTTTTTATCTTCAAACAATGAAATGCTGGATATTGTGAAATAAGTACATATTGTGAAAATGTGATTAACTATTAAATTTTTGTGCCTGTCGTAATTACTATATTATATTATAACAATTATATTTGAATACACAATTGTATAATGGCTTGGGTCGCTGATGACCTTGACGTTATAAACGTTACGACTAGATAAATAAATATATAAATTTACAAAAATACTGGTTAAAAAATAATCGATCATCTAAATCAATTAGTATATAACTCAACTACAAATTGCTTTTTGTTCTTCGTTTCATACTTTTTTTCATTTTATAGTATATTATATTGTATTTTATTTCCTAACAATAGTTCTATTATATTAAAAAATTTAAAAAATATAATATTTACTTTAACTAACATTAAATTTGTAATTGATTTCTGTCATTTAATCTGAGTAATTTGTAGTTTACAAATATACAAAATATAAATATTTTTTCAAATAACAAATATTGATTTAACTCATTGATTTTTTAAAGAAATCTTATGATTTAAATCAAATTTTAAGTCAATTATTAAGTCAGTTTCTTAAATCATACCATAACTACTACCTTAATGAAGATATAGTAAATATTATTCTACAATATTGTGTAATAATGTCTCTCGTAATAGTGATACTTCACTCGTTCAGTAAGGAACATATACTTGGGGAAACCGAACGACAAACGTTTACCTCTTGTTACATTGTAGATCAGTAATGTACTTTTTGTTCATCGAATTTTAATGTTCTTCAAACGTCATTCGATCAAACTTAAAACGACACTAACTACACGGAGGAAAAATACTCGGTCATCATCACAAGGAAGAAAATGTAGCTTTACCTTTTTTACGCACCACCATAAATTGATCGTGCGTGAATGGTCTGTGGGGTAAGTTGATTCTTGAAGGTTAGACTGGGTAATGAGGCGCGTTTAAAACTTGTGACGTGAAACGTCACAGGAAGGTACAATAGGGTCACAAAGCGACCATTCGAGTCCGTTTTTTCTTTTCTTTTTTTCTTCCTGATCAGCAGTATAATCTTTTCAGGGGTTTGCAATGCAGACAATTACTAACAGCAATACACCATACTGTAGAATCTTACGCCCTGAATTGACGTTTTTCACCTAGACCATGCACGTCAAACCGAGCTACATGCCCGCCTGGGAAACCCGGCGCTCCTGTGAGATTGGATAGATTCTTCCAACTCCGCTCTCATTTCCTCTCCAAATCCAAAAGGTCTGTACACGCACATTCGGGAGCTGAGAAGCTAAGTAGAAAACGCGCTCGAAATACTTTGAACAACAGTTGCTTTCCACGAAAGTATGTTTGCGATGTTTTTATCAATTAACCGAGATTTGAATTATGTTGATATTCTTGATTACTTATTACGTTGTTTCATGTGTATTATGCCTCCTGCCAGGACTATGTTTGAAGTGCGAATTTTTTGCCTGGTTTTCATTTTGCGATACATTTTAGTAAATCACTGTTACTTTTACATAGTAGTAATGTGAAATAAATTAAAGAGTCTTTCAGGCGAACAGCTCTTGCAAAAAACTAGAATATTTCTTAAAACTCCTAACTTGAACATAGGAAGTTAATTAATTATTAAGTTAATTATTGTACTCTTAAGTAAACGCGATTACGAAATATAGTTCCTTTCGCTTCAAAATGTTTCATGTTAATCACAATTAGAATTTTAAACTTTGACCGATGTGTTGGTTCATTTCATTTGATAATTTCTTCGCTTTTGTAGAGAAAATTTGAATTAATGTAGCTAAATGTGGGGGGCAATAACTGTAAACTGACTTTTTCAAAAGACTGTCATTGTTGAGGAATCAAGTGACGTGTCGACATCCCGGAGCAATTTGTACAAACCTTACTTTCACGTGGCAGTTGCTCTGGATGCAGTGCACGCGAACTAAGTTAAGCTAGTTACCTTGCCTGCGACCTTGACTTGCCAGGTTTGGACAACTTCTTGAAAGATAGTATTGTCTGGGTGATTGTGATAACATATAAGGAGAGAAATTTAACGATTCAAATTTTACGAAATACCATGGAGGTCCGAACTTCTGAACTCGATTTCTGAAATCGAACAAAAATCACTTCATTTCAATAGTTAAATTAGCTACTCTAATTTGAAGAAGAATCTTTAATGTGTTTTCTCTGGACACCCTTTTCACTAAAATGTAGTTAAACTGTCTAAACACACATCTGATTAATAAATGATACTATTTTCCAGCTTTCTCTCCTTTGCAATTAGTTCTTAAGGTTTTATTGTTATGAAATAAAGTCTTTCAGTGTCAATTGAATACGTTACACATAAATAAAAATCAATAAATAAAAAATTAAATTCATCATAAAATAAGTTCTTTTGGTAATAGCTATCCTCCTAAAACCACTTAAACTCTGGTCGCACCACTAAATGAAAATAATCATTTATTTTTTAATAAAAGTAAATTTATAGAATAGTTATTTAGTTTAATTATTATTATTATTATTATTATTATTATTATTATCATTATTATTTTAAAATAAAAGATTTTCTATGCAATTTCTTTCTTTTTCCAATTGGCCCTACACTCCAATTGGCAATTAAACTATATTTCATGTTCCTGTCGAAAGGAATTAATTTAAAAATTGAGGGCTTCCATCTTCTTTGGGCAGTTGGACCCGAGTGTTGCGTTGCTGTTGTGGAGCCTTACCTCGAGCAGCGAGTTGTCGAATGTCTCGGTTCCCCACATGATGAAGCATACCGCTGCACCCAGGGCCAGGAGCACGATGGTGATCGAGATTCCTGGAACACGCATTTCGGGGTAAATTTCAGGTCTTAGAAAGGTTACCACAGTGCACACATTTCAGCGTTATTAATTTCGTCGTAAGAAAAGGAGCATTCAAAATCTCGAATTCCATCCCCCCACCCACCACCAAAATCAGTTGGCGCTGTTTCACGACTCAAATTCTTCGAAACTCGATTAATCCGTAGATTATTCGCCTGCAGAACCTCTAAAGAGAGAGTAAACTCAAGGATTTTACAAGTTTCACGATTTTCAACGTCTCAATTTTTTTATTTTAAAAGGAGATGAAGGGTTAAACAATTTATTTTTTGTGTTAACTGTCCTAGTTTGTTTAAAAACGGGTTTAGTTGTAGCTTCACCCAAGGTAACAAACGTTCCTAGAATAGTTCCAATGCGTTGCCATAAAAATTATCTATTAAATCGAATATACGCAATTTATGTAGTTTATCCCCCACTACACAAATCAAAATATGAACCATATGTAGAAGGGGCACTTCGCAAATTATTATGGTAGGAAGCAAGATGTCATGCCCTGCATGTCCCTGCACTTCAATCTCCCTTATAATCTAATCTTTATGAATTTTGATTATTTTAATATGTGCAGCATTACTTTTCTTAATTTATGTTTATAATGAAGAAAGCAGACAATAAAATTAAAACAAGAAAACATAACTAGGTGACTTGGATAGAAAGTCATTCTGATATTTCTCACGCTTCTTTCTAGGGCTTTTATCCAGCCGACAGCCTGTTACCCTTTACATCCCGCATATATCCCAGGACGCATATTGGATCACACACCAACTCATTTGTGAGCTCCTCTGATATGATGTCAGCAGAATGCGAGGCCTTCCGCGACAACAGATACATGAGAAACAATGGACAAACAACTATGCCCACAACGAGACTGGAACGCGCGTCCCTACGGACCGAAGCGCTGTGTCGGTATACGCTTTTAGGATTCGCTACATCGCTATATTTTTGGATCAATATAAAAATATAATGTCGTTACTGTACAATTTCTTATGAATATATTGATGATGCATTGTGAAGGATAATTTAATTAAGAGAGATAATTTAATAATTTAATTATCTCTCTCTTAAATGCGGGTGTCAGTTCCCTCTCTTGTAGTTGTGAATTCGTACAACGAACCTGCATGTGTGGGTTAGTTAACTTAACTTTTCGTTTAATAACATGTACGGAAGAGCCGATAAAGAGTTTCAAGATTAGTATGTATCAGATTATTTCATTCAAAACATTTCTATTTTTAAAGATTTAGAACCAACTGTACACCACAAACGCATCCTTCAGGTTCAAAAACGTATCTTTTAAAGTTCCATCCAGTAAAATCGAGGAAAGGAACAATCTTATAATAATTAGAGACATTTTTGCAATGTAATATTACAGTGTACAATAATTATCTGTAGTAATCTAATTTTAGCGTAAGTTCACATCCGTTTGTAAGAAAACGGATCAGTGAGAAATTTATGAGGTCAATGATTAACTACTTATCTTTGTAAAAAAAACACTGAATATCTAAGGGCACGTTAGTGAAGACGTATTCTCTAATACGCGGCTCTTAGTCCGGATTTTGTTTCCATTATTTGTGTTCGAGTTCGCCAAAAGGTCAAAAGACCGGAATTGCTACATTTCGGAACGTTTCTCAATTTGTTTTGATTAATATTGCGATTGTTTTAGTTATTTGCTGTTTTTGTAGGAAATGCATATTACCCGCGCAAGTTTTCTTAACCATTAACCTATCTCCCCCCACCAATAGACAGATGAAGGTAAAAGATCACAGCGATAACTAATGACTTTCTGAACACATCTTAATTTGCGCGAAACAGGTTACTGTTTGCCGTTGTAGACGAGTATTCCTGTTTATGTTTTTTCTCAAAACATCTAAAGAAATGTTTGAGACAGGTTCATGGCCTTCAGAGTAGACACCTGGAACTTCTCAGACATGTGGGAGAACTTATAATAGAGGCGAATGCAAAAATAATGAGAAAGTTATCAAAGCAAGAAACGAGCAAAAAAAGGAACAAGAGTTTGATGTATTTTCTATCTCATGCCTTGGATCGAGCTTCTGCTAACCTTGGAGAAAGTATTTCGACGAAACATGGAATAAAGACCAAAAGAGCGAATAATTATCTCTTCAAATTCTTCGTTTGTGGACCGATGTGGAATGTACGGTATACGAGCACCTGCTGGAGGGAGACAGATGACGGACGCTACTGGAGTCGAAGTGGAAAGTGTAATCGAGAAACGCACACTCGCAGGTCGTATCGTGCGTTGCTGATCACAGGTTAATACGCCCTCGCTTAAAATCTCCGGGCTATCACACGACTGGCCGGTATGAAGGACATATTTCACCAATTTCTTGTGAAATTCTATGGCATTTCTTCCACGGAGAACGGTTGGCTTGATTTAGGAGCGTTGCTCGAAAGGGTTTCATTCATCTTACACAGCGGTAGTCGGACAACCGATTTCACATTGCTCTCTGTGCTAAAAGAGGCTTTGAAAGTACCATCTGTTGTTGTGATAACACACACTTCATTTCTTCTACGCGACAAATAAAATTATGCTATCCGATATTATTTCGTTTAGAAAAAAATAGTTGCCATCATTTCTGCCAAAACCCTCGTATTTTAATTCATTTTCGATCTTTGATAGACTTTTTCATAAATTTCACTTGGGTTAGAGAATATTACAATTTTGAAATATATATATATTCATTGAAATATATATTTAAACTTTCATTACCCCTTTCACGACCACTACCACTATCATCACCACTGCCACCATCACAATCATCGTCCCCAACCACTACCAATGCAACAAAATCCCACCAGTAACAACACTACCACTATCACTACTACCACTACTAAACTATTTAGTAGTTTTATAAGGAAGTCGCTGAGCAGTTTACATCGTGCTTTTTGGCGCACAGAGGGCGTTAACTTCCCAAAATCTCCGACCTTGACCCCTGTTTAACCACTGTTAAAATATTAAAGTGAGCTGGATCCCCAGGCTGCGTGTGCATTGCCCCGAGGGCGTGACGGTTCCTAACGCGAGTCTTTTCACTGACTCTTTCAAAATCCTCACAGAATCCTCCTTCAATGAAAATCCAAGCAAATATTGTGGGTTTCGTGAAGCAAATAACGCGGAATTTTATCGAAAGCTAACGAACAATTCAACAATAAAGGTAGCATTAAATGTTTCGTAATTAACAGCAGAGTGTATAGTAACAATAGTTACATTTTAACAGTAGAGTTACGTTCAACTTCATTCCCAAATGATGAATTTCCTGAGGGAAAATTCGAATGTTTAATCCTGAGTTCTATGTAATTATGTTTATTTCCTTCATTTTATTTTTTGTTTGAAATTATAAAACCTCTTGCGAAAGTTTTAGTTGATTGGCAAATGGAGATTTGTCTCCACTGGAGCATTTGAAGCTGAGGAAAGCTAACTTCTTAGAACAGACTGTTTGAATTCAGCTATGTAAGGCGCGATAATACAAAGTTATTGATATGGAACTACTTATGCGGCATTAAAGACAACTGTAAGAACGTAAGCACGTCGAAGTTTAGAGGTTTACTTTCGAATTCTGCTCATCAAGACCAGATGAAACATTTCATAGCGAAAACGTAAAGAGATACAGCAACGTATTGAGGTTTCTTTAAGGTTTAACATTTTTCTGAAGAGAAACTGGATGAGGTGACAGCAATAAAGTAATGCATTACTAGGGGAAGGTGCATGAAGGTAGGCAATTGGTGCGACGCCGGTCTAAGAGTCAAAATTCACTTTTCTCCCACAGGTATCTCAAGGAGACTACCTATCCCATTTTCCTGGTCGGAAAATGATCACTCCATTTCTTTATTTCCTGCTGCCCTTGAACATGTTATCTCACAAACACCTAGGATAACACATTAAGCATCATCTACAAGATGATGTAATATAATGAATAGGTAACTATTTTGTGTTGTCAAGTATGAATGAATTTCGAATTTCAGCTAGTTAGGCACCTGGAAGTAGAGACGGTGACGTAGTGATGTAATGTACAGATTTTAAGACGTAAACAATGTTATTTTGCTGTACCAACTCCATGACTTGCAATAGTGTTCTGCACATTCATTAAATATAAGTATTTTCGTACCATTATGTTCTTGCCTACTTAAAATTTTTTGGTCTTTTCAACCCTCTGAAAGGAGGATTAGTTTTTTCATATTTTACTTCTGATTAAGATAAGGTATACAATATACAAAGAATCTGGAGAGAATTATTAATTTTACAATTGTACGCAGCTATTGATTTAATAACAAATTTCTCATAAGGGTATTCATCATGGTATTGCTATCTTAATATCTGAGGGAATAGGTATTTGCTAGTAACATAACGATGAGGTTTTTGAATTTTGTTGCAACTTGACGTTTACCAAGGGCTGCATCCAGGAACAGAAAGGTTTCAGGGGTTACACTCCTAGCCTAGTATGGTTTTAGACTTTGGAAGCTTATTTTGTGTGGTCTGTTTCTACTCTGTGTGTGTGTGTGTGTGAGTGAGTGTGAGTGAGTGTGAGTGAGTGTGAGTGAGTGTGAGTGAGTGTGAGTGAGTGTGAGTGAGTGCGGGAGAGTGCGGGAGAGTGCGGGAGAGTGATGGTGAGAGAGGGTGAGAGAGAGAGAGAGAGACAGAGGTGAAGAAACAGGCGAGTGAGAGGGAGAGAAAGCTTCATATATCTATATCAGTGTGCATCACGAAGAGATTCTTATGAGCCCCAACCTGAGGAGGAAGACGTACAGACTAAGGAAGTATCGGACGGTAACTCCGATACAAAGGAGAAACCTCTGGTGCGATAGCGGGTGGATCGATCGGAAATGTAGCACTCGGCGTCAAATTTCACACGTCATCGCGCCACGTCATGCCCATCAACCTTCCCGCCCATTGCAGCGGAATTACATCAAACTAGTACCACTAGCTAAACGTCATGCCCATCAAGCTGGCCCG